TTAGTGCACGTCAGAAAGCAACAAACTGCAAATCACGTATTACGCATGAGATCTCAGATTCCTGTCGCACACACATGCATGACACACCCTCTGTATGCATGGACCGCACACGTGTCCCTCCCTCCCTCTTGTCAAATTGATGCCCGGATGCAGTACACTACTAGCAGAAGGTCCCAAAGCTATGGGCAGCAGGCAACACCCCCCATGCTATTTCTAGCAGTGGCTCCAAACCTCACCATCCAGCATACTCACAGTGTGTGTGATTGTGAGTTGTGACCACAACGGCACAAGGTGGTCTGATCCATCAACAATCCAACATGCATGTTGATGTTGTACAATCACTGCCCATGAATAGCTTTTCCTACCGGCCAGGCCAGTACCAAGAATGACTTTTGTGAAGTGAAAAAAAAGGAGAGGTGCAAGAAATGGAGGAGGCTGATCGAAATGTGTCCGTGTCACCGTCGAAAGATGCGCCTGTTTTTCGACGAAGGAAGCTTTTACTAAATTCTCAAGAGTATTACATCAAGTGATACATCAAGGCGTGGCCTCTGCCTATCAACAAACACAAACGAAAGAAATGAATAGAAAGATCGACATATTCTAGTGAGACTACCAATTTGTAAACTAGATCACCATATGTATTCATATGTCTGAGAGACCGCCCACGCCAATTGCTGCGAGACTGTTGAAACCATACTATATGTGAAGCTGGCTTCTGCAGGATAGCCTAAATACGTGGCCAGAAAGATGAGTGTCTACAAGAAAAACATAAAAACATCTCTACATACAATACAATATAAACATTCTCCCATATAGATCAACTGATCACTGAATTTGTGTCGTTTGCTTATTTCCTCTCTGACTTGGTGGCCATCCAGTTGCGGCATCCGTGGGGCCTAGGGAGTGGTATTTCTTCAGCCTCAAGGACAGGAAGTACGCGACAGGGCAGCGGACGAACCGGGCTACGGTGTCGGGCTACTGGAAGGCGACGGGGAAGGACCGGGTGGTGGCGCGGCGAGGGGCGCTGGTGGGGATGAGGAAGACGCTGGTGTTCTACCAGGGGAGGGCGCCCAAGGGCAGGAAGACCGAGTGGGTGATGCATGAGTACAGGATGGAGCCTGCTCTTGACCAATCCTACTCCTCCAACTCCAAGGTAAATATAATTCAGTTGTTGTACAATGTAATGTTCATTACTGCTAGCTACTAGCTAGTACACTTAGTTAAGTATACAATAATCTTATATATATAGCATTCTGTTTGACAATGTATTGGCACTCTTCATCATATTACTTATCATATAGTCCACTCTTCCACTTGTACTTTTAAGGAGTATCCAAGTTGTTTTGCTTGATCGTCCTTAATTTGTGCTACAACTTCTATAACTTTTTAGGACGGTTTGTCAAAATATATGTGTCAACTCTTTCTTTGTTTATAAATAAATAAATAAAAATAAATGTGCCATTTAAGGAGGTAGTGAACCAATTGGCTTTAGGCATGTCTCCCCAATCAATCAGAATAAAATTGATTGCATAGGTATACATAGGTACAGACTGTATGTGAGCTAGCTAGATTGCACATTTAATAATTCTATAAAGAGACGATTTGTAGTGTGGGCATATTTCCTACTGAACAGTCCTTGTCAAGACTTTTGTCACACTGTTCATATGAGATGGACATCTCTACTTGTCTCTTTCTCTACATTTTTTTTTAATTATATGGAGTTCTTTATGTATATGGGTTTCATACTTAGCCATTATATTTTATTTTTTGATGGATGCTTGCCCATTATATTTCTTGAACATAAATGACCTTTTGCACCGGTCCATCCATTTGCATCAAGCAATGGAAGTCCTAAATTCTTGTAACTTTTCTTTAGCAATCATCAATATACAAATTTATGTAAATTTCATCATTGATCGCCTTCGACTAAATTAACAAAGTAAGAGATATATAAGTAGCTTAAAGCCTGAAACAATAGCTTATTCAAAATGAAGGCTTCAAATCAACGTTAATGTTAGTCACTAGTCAGTCCAAGTGATTAACGAGACTCCATTCAATGAACTAACCAATGCTTTCATTCGTCCTCCTCCTGTCACCAACAGGATGAAGATTGGGTGCTGTGCAGAGTCATCTGCAAGAAGAAACTAGCGGGAGGCGGCGGCAGCTCCAAGGCATCAAGGAGCCTCACCAGCAGTGGCGGCCGCGAGACCGTGCCAACCACGTCGCCACCACTGCCACCCCTCATGGACACTACCCTAGCACAGCTCCAGGCCGCCATGAACACCACCGGCGCCGGCGCAATCCAGCAGGTGCCCTGCTTCTCCAGCTTCAACAACATTGCCAGCAACGGCAACGGCAATGGCAACAGCGCTGCAGCAGCAGCTCAGTCATGCTACCTGCCCATGGCTACAGGCGGCAGCCATGGCATGAGCTACCTGGACCATGGCCTGCTGCCTGAACTGGGCGGCTGCTTTGATCCTCTCAACAGCGACAAGAAGCTGCTCAAGGCAGTGCTGAGCCAGTTCGGCGGTGACGTGGTGCCAAGCCTGCAGCATGAGATGGCCGCTGCCACTGCCACTTCCTCCACTTGGATGAGTCACTTTTAGGAAATTTAATTCAGCAAACCTAAGTATGTGATTGGTGATATATTGCATATATGAAACATATATATTCATATTGTGTGGTGAAACATTTGTGTGTGAGTAGTAGAGGATGCAATATTTTTTCTGCCTATCGATTCGGATGAGGCAAGGAAAATATTAGGAGTAAAACTCTGTAATGGCTGTTGAAGTGTGTATATTCAGATGCAGAAGTATGACATGAGTGATGAGGAGAATTTCAGATTGATCATTTTACTATAATTCACATATGACCTCTCTCTCTCTCTCTCTGAGTCTCTGTACATTCATAGTAACAGAACAGTGCCTGTGTATACATACAATAATTCAGAATGCAGAGGCTGCCATCCGGATGCAGTACCGGTCCAAATCCAATCATGCTATTTATTCAGGAAAGTAGGCATGACAGTCACATCTAAGCATCTCTTCTTTACCATCATCTTTCTTTTTCTGATGTATTGTTGCGATGACAAGCATACTAATCAAGCAGTAAGTTGAGAGTTCCTGGCTTTCCACTGCACTATTCCTGATATGCTGCTGGCCAACTGCATAATCAAGTGACCACTGACGACCTGTCACCTGTGCGGCCTCCATCCTAACTGATGCTCTTGCTGTACCTTATGTCATCAATACTGGTACTGGTACACATATAAATACACGTCCTGTACACCTCTCTCAATCGTCTTGTAACAGTAGGTAGGATTTTGCAAGAGCAAATGGCAGAAAAGAAAGAGCTCTCATCTCTGTTCTTGCATCAAGGTAGGCAGGTGGCAGCTTCTAGATACTGAAACGTCCCAGTCTTATCCATTCTTTTTCATGCCAGACTGCCAGTCCATCGCATGAACATATATCTAGACTGTGATTTGTCATATTGTTACACTACTGAGGTACAGCTCATCCGAAGCAAAAATGGAACTGGTGGTGAATTGGTGATAGCGCAAATTTACTATTGTAGGTCTGATGGGTTCATCATGTTTTCCTATTTATACCACTCTAAAAATTAAAATATATAAAAGGAAATATAATAGCTATATTCATATTTTACTCTTATACGTATAAGGTAATACCTCACCCTTTTCTATCCTATCCATTGAGACTTAACTAACTAAATGGATAACCCACATTTAGAAACATATTTTTTTTAGATTACACGATACAACGTGGACGCTCACAAGTCACAACGCACGCACACTCACCCTTATGAACGTGACGCACGCAAACCCCTACCCTTATGAGCACCTTCAAGATTGGACGACAAATCCTTAGGGACGAAATTGACGAAGCACTGTAGGCATCTCGTTGTTGATAGAAACGTTGTCTACCACTGAAAACACAATGCCGTTATATCCTGAGTAGAACCAAGGACCTCAGATGCTACTGAGGCTCTTGTAAGCACTAGGCTACATGCCATTTCGCTTGTTTTTCTTAGTGCCACAAGCAAATTTACTATTCATTGTTTTTCTAAGTGCCACAAGCAAATTTACAATTCAAATTCATTTGCAGGGCTTTTGCATGATATCGTAAGAGTAAATTTTATAGGGCATTCTACCAGAAATTTAATCTCCACGTTGAGGTTTGACTTGTAGTGTGTATGGATGAGATGTATATCTTTTTGAACTTCATGACTCATTCCACATAGAAGCCTTTATTCTTTTCCAGTGCAAGAAGCAGGGTCTAGGGAAAAACTTAATGCTTGTGCTAAAGGTAATGATATTGAGGTACTATTGAGGTACTGTACTCAAATTGGTTAATGGCAGTGCTTAAAGTTGGATCATAGATTGGTATTGGAGCATGAAATCCGAGAACAGAACGCAACTGGAGCATGAAATCCATGCCATTCAAGGATGGCTCATTGACTTCTTTTAATGGCCAAGTCCTTGATTATGGAATTGATCCAGTTTTATGAGAACTTCGATGAAGAATTCTAGAGCAACAAGCTCGTGCAAATAGGAAACCTGAATCCAAAAAATGATCCACATTGTACATATACCAATTATGTTGAAAACAATTTTGCATTGGATTATTGGGATATGCAATCAAAATAATTGGTATTGAGAACTAGCTGTTACAACTTAGAACGAAAATTGTACTCCAAAACCAAAGCAATATTTATGTAAGAATTGGCCTAACTAAAGATCCCATAACCAACTGCAGTTATTTGCTTGTGCACTCTTGGCACACCCATTTCAGGCCAAGCAACATGGAACAGTTTGACATCAAATTTGGCAGCATGCATGCACTCCATGCTGTGATTCAGCTCCCTCACATGTGCATCATAGAGAGGTTAATTCACAGTTGTGTGCCTTGATCACCAGAGTGAGTGAGATCCAACTGCCGAAACAGCGCATTGTTGTGGATGAACTGTCCTGAGACATGGACTACTTATTGGCCCGGGGAGCATTGAGCATTGGATGCAGCTGAAAGCAGGTTCAGTGCCAGCATGAGGGCGACGCCGGTGAACGACGACGCCAGCGCGACGCCTCCACGGCTGCAGAAGGAGCCAAACCTGTCGCATATCGGGTTCCACCGCGCGTGCACGTTGCCGTTCTTGCCTAGCTCCGCCATCGCCGCCGCTGTGGCCGTACCGGTCGCCAACAGAGCCATGGTCAACTGGACCAATGACAAGAGATGACAATAATGCCGTGTATGTATCCATATGAATTGACTGATGATGCAATGGTTTGAGATTTGTCAGACGTGCTACAGTGCAGGCATATGCAAGTACAGCAACAGAGGTTTCAGTCAAGCAACTAGCTTTGGACAGTGGCAATCCAATAGATTCCTGATTAGGCGGAGATTTTGTAAGTCTATAGAACACAATTATTACAAGGCTCCAAAGTTCTGAACACATCAGGTTTGGCTGGGTTATGTGATATACAGTGTATGTGACAGCGCTCGCATTCTCCGCAAGCAATCATCTCTAGCAAGCAAGAACATTTAATGCACATGCATGAAAACTGCCTTGTCTCTCTTGAACTCAAATGATTGGTTGTCAATGTGCTAGGACTGTTTCAAAGTTGATTTGTGATGAAGCTACTATATATTGAAATAATCTAAGTACTGTCTTTAAGTGAAGTATGGGCATATGGGAAGTAATGTTAGTATCAATCAATTAAAATAAAGGAAAATTTTCCTGCCAATGCAATTCTGCACAATCAATGCCATTCATTTAGTCCTAGTGAAAAAAATATCAAATATGCCATGATGACTTTGGTGTAGGGATGAAAACGATCGAAAACGATCGATAGGAGGACAAATCACTTTCATTTTAACATTTTTTTTCTCGAAAACAAAATCGATACGATATTATCGGAAACGAATACAACACCAATATTCCGGTAATTTCAAAAACTAAAGTAGTCGATCGGAAAATACATCGATAGTGATCAGAACCTATAAAAACGATATCCTAAAAAACGATAAAAACGCCAAACCGTAGAACATGAGAAGAGCCATAAAACTAACCTATCTCACATGACAATAGTAATAAATAAAGCCACAATTGACAAGACCACAAGCTAAAACCATAATTCACACCATCTTAGGTCTCAAACAAGCTAAACCCCAGATTCCGTTCGTGTTCATGGTGACTGTCTAGAGTTAGGATGGTGCAGTACGTGATTGGTTGATTGCCTTTTTATTCCTATACGGATGAAATACTTACCGTATAGTTCCTTTTCACAAAAATATTTGCCTTATGTGTTTGCTTCTGCAGATGGGATGCTTAGATGTGGGTCAACTAGACCTAAAGTATATGCATTACACAGTCTATAAATAAATTAGGATTCAAGGCCTTATAAATTATCGGCTAAATAGTGTAATCTTCGAAAACGGTCGGAAGAGGATAAAATCATTTTCGCTTCGTTTCCGATTATTTTTTATCGTTATCGCTTTCATTTTTTCGACACGCCTCCATTTTCATTTAGGCCTGAAAATCAGAAAAAACTGAAAACGATTTCCGAAAATCGGAAATTATCATTTTCGTTTTCATCTACTTTGGTGCACACAGGAATTCAGAGAAAAACCTCACCATGTCAAGCATGTGCACAACTAAACCAGCCATCCTCCGCCGTAGAATTAGGCGGCGGACGAGCAGCACCACGAGGTTATACGCGGCAGCAATGGCGTTGGCTATGACGAAGTACCTGCACAGACCATGCATCAGCACAGCACACGATGAAATTCGGCAGGAACATGCATGGGCGCATGGTATGGCATGATGGCAAGCCTGAATAGTGAATTCCCAGAGGCAGAGCGAGGCCTACACGAACGCAGGCGTGTCCCTGAACTTGGCGGTGAAGGTCTGCGTGAGGGGCCTGGTGCCGATGATGGCGACCACGGCGGTGTAGGACTGGGCATTGAGCGCCATCACCGCGGCCGCCGCCGCCGTGGCCAGGGCCGCGGCCGCGCGCAGCACCACCGGTTGCAGCGCGACGAGCCTGTCCCTGAGCTGCGGCCGCTTATTACCGCAGCAGGTCGACGTCGTCGTCGTTGCCGCAGCAACAGCCGGTGCAGAGGGCGGCGGCATCTTGCTGCCACGCTCGAGATCCATGGCGCGATCGGTGGCCAAGAAATGTAGACGAGCATTCAGTTGTTGGACGTGTGGGATTATTCAACAAACATTTGAGGCGAGATTTAAATGGTGCGTGGCTGGAAATTATGTGTTGAAAAAGTGGCGGGCAATCAGTTTCGCAAGTTTGGGTGACTTGTGTGATCGATGCTCGATTGGAAGAGCGTTGGTTTTGGGTTTACTTAGTCTGTCTCAAATTGTTTATGTCCAGCTGATTAGTCAAAAAGGCTTTGGATAAGCTGGGACATGCATGTGGTACGTATGACAGTATGAGTCAGGAACATGAAGTGCCTGAGAAGAAACGTATGTTTCTGGTGCTGTTTCTTCAGGTTTTTGCAAAGTGGATTGGCAGAGGAGTGAGAGAGAAGCAATGATCAGGAGAGTGGAGAGAAACGGACATGAAATTCATACGCAGATGCAACTACCAAGGAAAATTGGTGGTCGTGGGACTGCAAATTCTATCAAAATCCAGAATGTTACAAACGTAATAGAGGGTAGGACATCAAAGGGGTGGTGGCGCAGTTGGCTAGCGCGTAGGTCTCATAGCTAAAGCGAGTGATCCTGAGGTCGAGAGTTCGAGCCTCTCTCACCCCAATGTTTTGTTTTTGTTCTCTTTTTCGTCTTTGCAATAATTTATTGTTTCTTTTTATTTTTGGACGCAGATTCATGCTGAGTTCTTTACAGACCGCCACTATCCGTTCTTCGAGTTTGTCTTACTATCCGTGTTTTAGTTTAGTTTAGTTTTCTTTGGGCATTTTTCTTCAAACTAACGTAAATAACGTATGATTTGTCAAAAAAACCGTAAATAACGTATGACATGACAGCAACATATTGCAAGCAGCATGAAAATAGAGAAAATCTACATCAGACATGGACAACGTATGGGCTTCAAATATTTTTTTTTTTAAAAACACGCCCAAACGTCTGAACGTCCGCGCCTGCACTTCGTCTCCCCCAAGCTTTTCAAGATCCTGCTGTTCCCGCCTATGCGGGGTCAACGCCACCACCCGACTACATCGGGAGTCCCACTGTGCCCCCTCCGCTCCTCACGCTGCATGCATCTGACCAAAGAATCGTCGCGGTGACTACGTGAGGTGGCTACGCCAAGATAAAACGGGGGGGGTGGCTGCCCATCACTTGACCATAGCAGGAGGAGGAGGAGACACCGAGACGAAGGTGAGGCACAGAAAAGCAAAGATGAGATGTAACACCCGATCACTTTTTAAAACATCCGGATGTAACACTTATGTACATACGTCTGGCGGATGAAACACATGAAACATGCATATGAAAGACTAGCTACAACACTGGATCTACTTTTAAAAACATTCAGATGAAAACATTTACAACATATACGCATTTAAAAACAGTTGAAACACTTGAACACATGCGTCTGAAACACTTGCAAAAAAACACACTCGAAAAAATACTTCATACTCCCTCCGAGTCAAAATAATCACAAAGATTCAAATTTTTTTCCCAAATAATCGAACACCTTCACATACGACAGCAGCCGGCTATCCCATCTGGCGTGATGTGACCGAAAGCAACCACGTGTTCTGATTCAGACACTCACATACACGCTGTCAATACGCAACGCTTGCCCAATGATGTGGGCCCAATAAAATATGAAACAAAGGAAGAAAGTGGGAGGCTCCAGAAGGTCCTGTTCACTGCGTTCACGCCGATCCTTCGGTCGTACTTCGTCAGTGTCGTCGACGCACCCGACGCCCTCCACAAGGGCATTTTTCGTAATTTGGCATGCGATGTTGGTTTCAGTGCTCATCTCAGAAATGCAATTATTCGGGATGGAGGGAGTATGTGTGAAAACATATGCAACATCCAAATAAAACATTTGCAAACATACGTGTTGAAAAACGAGATGAAACATTGAAACATATACTTGAAACATACGTGTATACATACCGCAACATATGCAACATTCGATCCACTTTTGCAACATCAATATGAAACAGCACAACATCCGGATGAAACATCTAAAACACTTAAAATATACTCTTTTGCAACATGGGCTTTTGCTTGGACGAATGGAGGCACGCCGGCGCGGAGGTGGACGGCGGCGCATGGACCTCGCTGTGCGGTAGTGGCACGGGCAACTTGTTGGCGGGCGCAGCGTCAGACGACCTCGCCTTCTTGATGGAGCATCCGTCGTTAAGGCTCATTGCGGCTCGGTGGAGGCGATCACGACAAAATGGGGTCGGCCAAGAGGAGGCAAGGCGGTGGAGGCGGCGAAGCAGACCGGGCCCGATGGGAATGCGGTGCGGAGGAGGGCGGTGGAGGAGGCCACAGGATGGGGGCACGGCTGCGGGGGGACCGGCCAGCGGTGAGGTGAAGCGGGATGGGCATGGCGACGCAGGGAGGAAATGGCGCAACGAGCATCGAGACGTGCAGGATGGGACAAGCGGATCAGTACACGCGGATGGGACAAGCAGATAGGGTTACTGGGCGAACGGCGTATGGAAGGGAGACGTCCATTCGTCCGGACGTCTTAATTGTATCATTATCACTTTAAAAAAAGAACGTGGATACAACTCTGCATTCTCAGTCTGAAACAGCAAATGGGTGCAACGGCCATTTAACAGGATACTTCTCATCAGGATAGACAGACAGATAAAAACACGCTGTATTTCAAGAGCCATTTGCAATGTTTTTTGTCGTTATTCACTAATAACAAAGCAGCTAGAGCCCACGGGCTTGGAATTTGATGACACTTGAAAGTCAGGCAGAGCCCATATTACATACAAAAGAATCAAGGGTAACAAGCTACAGTTCTGAGTATCCACACCCGCACTTCGTTTTCGTTCGTTCTAGCACGATCGCAATGGCAAAAGCCGCGCGCTTTGCCACTATGCTCTTCAGGGAGGGATTCCTTCGTCGAGCAGCCGATCGCCAAACAGCGGTATCATACAAGGTATTCTTAAACCTTTTCAGATATTTTAAACATAATAAACAAAGTTACACAGGTTGTGACATGTTACTTTTACCACCACTTGTAACCCCTACTACAACGTTGCTCACCTGCATACACACAAACAAAATAAAATTACCAACCTTCACTTTACTGGGGCAAAGCAAATGCACAGGTGTGAGCAAACAGCATAACATGCTTACCAATTTTCCCTTGTCATCTACTGTCATTGGGTTTTCAACAACAACAGTTACATTCTGCGATTGGTTCCTTGGCTGCCCAAGTTGGACGAAAAGAATTTTGTGAGAAATCACATTAAACTTACATGAATTTTGCGATAATTCGTAAAATAAACATACCACAGAAGTTGACGGGATGCTATATGAATTTCCACTTGATGCGGGTAGTGCAGGTGGCAAAGGTCTCACGGGAGTCACCTGATGTTAAAAATTTAATAAATATGTTAAAATCAGGGCGGTGTCATTAGACACTTAAGACTATTTGTAGCACAAGCAGACCCATAAAGGAAATTAACATACCCCACCAACATTTGTAATGAAGTTGCAAATAGCACATTTGACAGACGGTGCTCCATATGGATACATCAACACTGTTTGGCACTGGCCACAGTTCACATGAGCTATGCTACTCACTGCAGAATGAACAAAAATGGAGTGAGAAGACAAATTAATAATATAAATGATATCTTCATACAACCTGTGTGCATGCATAAATCGAACTTCAATTATGATGGTGACACACACATCAAAACACAGAGTAGGAAACGCTATTAATCTGCTTGTTGCCTTTACATTTCCCATGATTGAATTGCTTTTATGTAGTTACTCAGGGAAACAGATTCTTTCGAGATGATCGCTCACCCCCATCCCCCAGCAGGATGAGGAAGTGCCCAACTCAGAAGCTGGGAGAGCATAATGCACTGAATTGCATTAGTGCTAGCTGTTCACTGGTGGCAAGTGTAGTCCAATCTATTGACAGACTGCCTATGTGCTGTTGTTCAACATGCAAGAAGCTTTATCCTGATTTATGTACACTAGGGGTAGATAAACCACTAGCACAATAAAGTATCCATTATGGTGCTCGTGAACTTAATGGCAAAACAACTCTTCTGCCTGTATCAACATGCATCCTACTCTTGAATTTTAACATGTTCATAGATGAAAAAATCAAAAGCTTATGGATCTGCAAGATAAGTTTACATTTACACATACATCAGTACCTGGTCTGACAAGATTGACTGTGTCACAACATGAGCATCTTACAGTTGTTGCACTGCAGTATATATCAATAATGTCTGGCAGCCACCACATATAAGTCGAGCCATCTCCATTGCTGCACAAGAAATTCACCATTATTTCATAAGCACACGACAAGAATTATTTGAGGTGAGAGATTCTAGAGGAGGAACAAAATAGAATGAACAGGGTACCATAAAGTTCAAACTGTTTTTGGACTAACCATGCCATTACCATGTACTAACTCAAAAATTTTGTTTGACTAGCTATAATTATTTGACATTATAAAGGACCTAATATCAAGGTCACATGACCCTAGTCCCCATGTATATGATAATCAATGAAAGCTTGGTTATGAGGTTTTCCAAACAAAAATGAAGTCATATACTGCAAGTTGGATTTAAATTGACTTAAGACTAGATAATACTAATTCTATGTTAAACAACAATACGAAGATCTCTATTTTCATACCCAACCTCCGTAAGAGCTTGGAAATCTGGTATTGCAACCGACACCGAGAATGCTACATAAATTGTAACTTCAACTCGGTGTGGTAAGTTAACAAAAAAATGTTTAACAAATACTACAAACCAAATACAAAGCTCATGATGGTATCTTGACTTTAGAGCTATGTAGTTTGAAGGATAGCTAACAGTCTCATTTAAATTACTGGGCAGTACCATGCAAGCAAGGTGAATCAACAGTGGAAGAAAGCAGCTAGATGGTGTGAGATAGAAGTGTTTAGGGAAAGATAAAGCAGCCCATATCAATGAAAGTATTGTCAGACTGCAGTGGATATAATTGTGTGAATGTGGATGACATGGTGCTTCTCTCAAGATTTCAACTGCACTTGCAGCTCGTAATATTTTCTACAAAAGCATTTGTATCACCTCAAATTAAATCAGTGGGTACTAGTGCCTGCAGCAGTGCAGCTATAAGCCTACAACTGATGTTTCTCTACTTTTCCCAGAAACACAAGTTTCAATTGCATTTGCTCCCTCAAAGGGATGTTTAACAGCAACAAATCAGAGGGACATAGTTCATCGTTAGAGCAAGGAAAGTGACAAACCCAAACAGTAAAATTGTGCAGTAGCAGAAAAGGCAGTAGAAATGAGTGTAGCAGCTGACATCCAGCAACAAGTTTATATTTCTATTGAAAAGCAAAGCATGACAAATTAGCCTGTGAAACAGATCTTGTTCAGTGGGAAGGAACATTCCTCTTCTTTACCTTTACAAAATATAAGTTGGTGATAATATATCTGGATTAACAGAAAGACTATTTACAGATGACATCTAAAATGCAAGGACTCTATCAGCGCAACAAGTGTACAATACTATATTGTAATATTTAATGATGCGCATGAGCTTGTTATGATGCACCAACACTCAATGGTAGATATGATTGAGCAAGAAATACTTTGTAAACGGGGGCCATGAGTAAGTTGCAAATTGCAAGATATCAGACATTATTAGTTATAAGGCAGAGCTCATCCCTCTTCCATTGGTCATCCAAACCTAAACTATGTGATATCAGTACCTGCACACACTTGACACTAAACACACAGCATAAAAGCTGAGATAGATTGGACATTTGGACTTAATGATTGATGAAAACACTCCAGCCAATCGGAAACCTGATGAATTACTCATCAATCTCTAAATTTAGCATTTCCCTAGGTAGACACCAATAATGACATCCTCTCCAGGACACCCCAGACCTGGTCTGCCCTTTAATTGTCACCCTATGTATTTGCATCACCAGTCTCCCCTAATCCAGCATCAATAAGATTCTAAATCATACATAAGGATATGACATTTGTTCCCCAACCTGCAATGTGTGTGCCTTTGATGTTCAATCATGAAAAAATAAACAAAGCCCAGGCCGCGCGCTACCTGAGGCGTGCACATTAAAGGTGACCGCGTGGGTACATGCGCCAACACACTTTCCGGAGCACCTCTTGGGTAGAGCAGAACGGTCCCACCCGTGGCACACGATCTGGCCTCTCTGTATGCCTGCAAAAAAGTTCCAGCCAAAGCCACTGCGGATGAGCACATACATATACACAATCAAAGAGCTTGGGGCCATCAGAAAAAAAGCCCCTCCAGC